TAGGCCTTGAGCCAAAACGGTAACAGTCACATGAAACTGAAGTGACCTGCCTTACAGGTCTGCAAGAATGAACTACAAACGCTAAACCTATCGATCAAATTCTGGAAGTCGGCTACACTCGTCCAACTTCTCCTAGGTTTAGCACCCTTGAATGGCAAAACCTGGGGAGACTGCCCTGCTCTGGCTGCAGAGCTGGCTCCTCGCTCCGGTCACGGAGAAACGAGAAGAAAGATTGATTACTGTACATTACTGAAAAAGCGGAAACGACGGGAGAGAATGTGGGATGGGGAGAGAAGGAGAGAGAGGAGGAGGACCACCACCACCACTACTACCACCAGGGTCCCGGAACTCGAACGAGGCCAGGAAGTTGTTCCGGGAGAGCTCGTCCCGGGAGGCGGTCTGACTTCTGCTCTTGAGACTTGGAGTCTCTCGGCGTCGTGCAACCTCGGCATCCTCGTCAACTAGGATCAACCGTCCGTGAGACATGAGATCGAACAACGCCGCGTTACATTTCGTAACGTCTTCTTTAGTTAAGGCGTCCACTGGCATACGGCCGTGAGGTATCCATCTCACGTGCCCACGAGCCCGCTCGAGAGACTCACATATAATCGCCAAATCGATCGCAGTGCGACGATCTCGTGCACAGGCCACCCCCTCCTTCTGCATAGTGTCGTAGATGGATTTGGCATCCACAACATGTACCTGTCTCTCGCGGGAGCCGAGTGAGCAATCCCTCCTCAGGACCGTGGTGAATGGCCCTGAGGCTCGATAACAATCGGGAGTGTCGACGTCGTGAAACATGACGTCGCGATATAATATTTGCAGAAATTCCACCTCTGCTACAGCCGCTGAGAGGGCCTGGGTCTCTCCAGCTAAAGTGGAGGGAACTTTGCGCCTGAGCTTGGAAGAACGCCAGCCCAGAATCGAAGCCTTCACAGCTTTGTTCTCAAGCACTGAACAGTCGGCTGCCAGGACCATCCAGGCCCCTTGAGTTGGATCAACAGGAAGGCCCCGATCGTCTAATAACCCCTCGGTAGACCCGATGCCACCAGCGTCGGAGAAGGAGATGAAGGACATTCGGTCCGGGTTCAGCTTCCAAATAGTTAGGCCTCGAGAGGCCGATGCTCGAAGGTGACGGGCCAACTTGTTGGCTATAATGACATCTCCAGTGGTAGCCTGCTTCAACTTGCTCGCAAGAATACTTGCCACTCCCGCGGCTTCTGGGCGGGCCTCGCGGCCTACCCAGTTGAACTTGTATACTAAAGATCGGAGGGCTCGAAACTCATGAGGTTCTAAAGGAGTGTCTTTCCGTGAAAGACGCCCCTTTGCCATCGGCAGCGCTCGGACTTCTTCCAAGATGTATTTTTCCTGGTCGATTACAGCCCGGTCCTGAGAGACTGTGATACGCCTTCCAGCGAAATCGACAGCGCCTGCCTGGAGGTCCCGGTACTTGCCAAACTTGAACCTGGCCTCCAGGACCCCTCGAAGCCACTGCCTGGACTCAGGACTGGAGCTCCCGATGAGAAAATCGTCGACCTCTAGCAACATCGCATTGAGCAACCGGCCCCGGGAGTCGTAGCGCATCCACCAGCACGGCTCGAGGAGGGAGCGAACGAAGCCGTGGGACTCAAGGTACCTAACCACGGTCCGTCTCCAGGCCATGGGGGCGTCGTCTAACCCGTAGACGTTGACAAGCAGCCTAATTAGGGAACCTCTCTCCAGCTCGACCCCATCACACGGTTCGACATATATTTCCCCCTTGGCTCTCTGCATTCTATCGGACTGACAAAACGCATTTTCACATCTGCCACATCACACAACAGACTAAGGTTCATGGCTACTTGCATGAACATCATAATGGAGGAGGTCTGTGGGGTCGGGGCATAGACCTCGAGGGCTCCCGAGTCAGGGTCCTTATGACCGTGAACGCACCACCGGGACTTAGCGTCCGGTTCCGCAAACGTCCCCTCGCGGGGTTTCCACCGACGGACCATCCGGCTCGAGATGATACGATCCCCGTGCTGCTGGCGAATGATCCTAGCTCGCCCCGGAGGTATGATTTCCACGGCTCCCGTGGCTTTCATGGCCTCCCATTCTTTGTTGTCGGCAGCAACGAACTTGGCCCTTTCGGCTGGGGACAGACGGTTCAGGGACACTTCGCCCCCTCGGCTCGCGGCGAAAGTGCCTCCGTCAGACTCCACAGCTCCCGTCCACTCTGGCTGCTCCGTCGGGACGACCCGAACACCCCCGCTCTCCGGGACGACCCAAAACTCTCCGAGCTCGCCTCGGGATGGCGAACGAGACCTCGCTCGTCGGTCCTCGATGTCCTGAACTCTTTCGGCCACGGTCCGGGACGGCTCGAAGCTGGACGACGGACCTGGCCGCCCCTCCAACTCTCCAGCACCTGGGTCGGCCCTGGGAGGAGGGTGAGGAGGAGCGAGGTGAGGAGGAGCGGGGGAATCAACAACACCTCCTGGAACTGAAGGGTAGGAAGGATCCGGCCCCGCCGACTCGGGCGGCGCCGAGTCGAGGCGAGCCCTCTTGACGTCCGGCGGGCTGCTGGCTGCCCGGCCGGCCTCGGCCTTGGCGCGGATGCACCAGGGGAGATCCTCCGGCTGCCGCAAGACCCTCCGGCCTCGGGAGGACGAACCTTCCTCGGCCGGTGGAAAGGAGGAGGGGGAGAGCTGGAGGGGGAGATAGGGGAAGCAGACGGAGGAGAGACAGCAGCAGGGGACAGAGGAGCAGGGGTAGCAGAAGGGTCGGGAAACTCAGGGGGGTCAGGATCCCTGTCGCCCCCGTCGACCTCGGAGCTGCCTCGAGACGGCCGAGTGCTCCCCTCGACAGTGGGACCACTCTCGGGGATGGAGGGGAGACGTGGCCGAACACTGCCTGCTTGCGCCACGTCCGATCCAGCCCTCGAGGATCCGCCAGCCTCGGATTCGGCGCGAAGAGCCCGCCGAGAGAGGGTCCCGGGTCCCGCGGGCCCTGACGCGGTCCCAGGAGACAGGGCTGGAGGAGTCGGGGCCTCCTCGTCCCCAGGAACCAGGGGACCCCCGGAAATCCTCGGGCCCGTGTCGGGCTGCCTGCCCAGGGGTTGATCCCAGGCCTCGTCTGGCGGGGCTCCCTCACGCTGCACGTCGACGGCCGAGACCCTGCGGGTCCTGGCTTGCTGCAGCAGCTCTTGCCAACGGGGGTCTTGGGCCAGCTGGAGGCCGTACTCCTCGTCGGAGCTGGCCAACCTCACTTGCTCCGGAGAACATTTCCAGAGTCGGGCGCGGACGGCGACCCAAACCGTCCCAGCCTCATGCAGAACAACAACCCCGGGACCTGTCCAGCCGTCTCGTCGCCTGCCCAGAGCATCAGCCCGCGAGGAAATGCGGGACATATGTCTCCACACGAAAACCCACTGACCGGGGGTAAACGTCCTGGGCACGGGGGTCCTGGCCTTGGTCGCCCGGCTGATCTGGTCCCGGGCCGTGACTTCAATGGCCAGGCGCCTGGCAGCGTCTCGAACCTTCTGCGAGCGGGCGAACTCCGCGCCAGCTTCGTCTTGCTCAGAGAAAGGCCTGGAAGCGTCCTGCCACCCTGGGAGACCCCGGCTGTCGTCTGACAGGAGATCGTGGGGAAGGCGAGGATTCTCGCCAAAGACGAGTTGGAGGGGGCTGAATCCCCCTCGATGCCAGAACCGATTTTTGTGCGCCACAAGTTCTGACACCAGCTCGTCGAGCTCATCCAGCGTGGCTGGGAGGGCGGACCCGGACTCGATCTCGGCTTTCAGCCGCTCTTTCACCCACCCTCCATGGCGTTCCACGCGACCATTCTGCCATGGTGAGTCGGCATCGCACACGTGATGAAGGATCCCCCACTGTTCGGTCCCCCGGGCAAAACGCGCGGCGAATTCTGATCCGCCGTCAGACAGAAGAAAGTGGGGTGCTCCAAAAGGCCGAATCCAGCAGTGAACGAAGACTCGCCAGACAGTCGCTGCTCGGGCATCGGCGACTCTGGCACACACCTGCAAGTTCGAGCCGTGGTCAACCACGTTCATAAATGACAGCGTGGTTCCTTGAAACTCGACATGAAACAAGTCTATGCCAACGATATGATTGAAGCGAAACGTTCGGGGCAAAGCCACACGCCTGTGGACGCCGCTGCGGGCCCTCTCGGCGCACTCGGAACACCTGAAATGGTCTCGGATCCAGGCCAGCACGTGCCTCTTGACCCCCCCGGCACGCAGAACCCTGAGGAATTTCCTATTTTCGGGGTGGCCCATGTTCACATGTATCTTGTAGGCCAAACGCTTCTCTTCTTCGGACGGCTCGATCTCCTGGACAGGACGAGAGATCTTGGGGGCCGGCCTGGTCTCAGGCTCATCTTCGTCACTCCCTTCCGACTCGGCTTCCTCGCCTTCTCCCGCATCTTCGGGAAAGTTGCCTTCCGCCAGCTCCGCCCAGGTAGGAGTTTTACTGCGAGAGGCCCCACTCCAGTGCTCCGCCACTGCTCGGGCGACCTTTCGCACCAGCGGCCTGGGGTATCGGCCGGCCTTGGTCGTAACGTGGCTCCCTTCCAGTAGTGCGTGGGAGTGGCCGCCTGTGCACAAATGACCGTCAAGGTCGTGGAGCACTTGCGGGTGATTGGATAGAAGGCCGGTTGGTTTCTCATTTAGTCCACGGCTGTCCACGCTGAGATCCAGTGAGCACATGTCGACCCTGAGACGGCGGACCCCCTCTAGTCCGCTGATGAGCCTCGCGGCCCGGGTTCCCCATGAGGAGGCATACAGTGGATGCTCGAAGACAAAGAAGCGTCCCTTATTATGCTGGTAGAGCGCGATCTCCATGCATAGAGCTAGATCGCGAAGGCCGGCCTCGATCGTGCGCCTCCAGACCGCTGGATCGACCTTGTGCCGATTGAGACGATTGATCGCTGAGAAAGCCCGACATTCTGGACACAACCAGATAGTCTCGGGCTCTTCCGCCTCTATCTGTCGCCAGAGACGTCTCACTTCCGAGGGCTTCGAGGCGTCCCACCCTGTCTTAAGGTCCCAACTGGGCTCCAGAGCCACCGGGGCCCCAAGCTTGGCCACGTCAGGGGCCATCCTCGGAGGCGAGAAGACCTCCATAAATGCCGTCTTGGACCGTCCTCGGATAGTGGGCCCGGCATCGGCTTGAAACGACGCCCCTAAACTCTCACGCGCTCGGTCCTCCAGGGCCCCACGAACTCGACGGCTGCATGACACCTCATGGTCATCATTGAATCGGTCCCCGTCGAACCAAAAGGCCTCAGGCATGACTTCCTCACCCCGGGATGATGGATTCCGACGTGATGGATGGCAGGGAGGAGGGAGACCCGGGGGAGGACCCAAGGGAGGAGAGGCGGAGAGAAAAGGAAGAGGAGCAGCAGCAGCAGCGCCGTCAGAGGTCTTACTTCTTGGTGCCCCCTCGTTGACGGGGGGTGCGGATGCTGGCACGGCACAGCTGCACTGCATAAAACAGAGAGACAGGCCTAGGCTGGGAGATCCTTCTTTCCTCAAAGAAGGTTCTCCGGATCGGCAATCACCTCCCAGGAGTCTTGCTCGAGCTGACTCTCGGGCTGCTCCGGGATCGGTGGAAGGGGCCACCACTGCGACTGACTCATGGCTGCCTCCGAGGGCGTTGTCGTAGGCGTCGTGTCCTGGCCCCCGCCGCCCACATCGGAGAGCTCGATCTCGGAGTCTCCGCTGGCGAGAGGCGGCGTCGTAGTAGACAGCGGTGGTCCACCTCCCTGGAGGCTCTGGTGAGGTGCCCCGGGCCCTCCAGAGCCTGGTGATCCGCCGCTGCCGCTGGCACCTGCGGGACCAGCCTGACCGCCCACCCAGGGGTCTTCCTGGACCGCGCCACCAGGCGTCGACAGGAGGCCGTGTTGCTGAAGTAGAGCTGCGACGCCCGGGCCGATCTGCTGAAGCATGAATCCGAGTTGTCCGATGCCCTGCTCGGCGTTGAGGATGCGGTCCTCGATCGTGTCGAGCTTCTCGCCGAAGTCCTCGAAACTCGAGAGCGTCCTCGCGATGGAGACCAGCAGCTGATGGATCTGCTGAAGGCCCTCCTGCGTCTGGGTGGGCGCGCTCTGCGCATTGTTGACCGTCTCGATCATCTGGTCTAGTACGGCCTGGACCCGCCCGAACGCTCGGATCCCGTCCGGAATCTCGTGAAGCTGCCAGTGGAGATTCTGCAGTAAAGCGCCCATGCTGTTGATCGTCGACAGCGCTGCTCCACCCTCGCGGAACCCTGGGTCGTTCTGGAGCATCTCGACCGCACGACGAGCTGACGCCGCCGCCGAGCGGGCCGCCTCTGCGGCGGACTGCGGAGGCTCTGACCCGCCCTGGCCAGCTTGTCCGCGAGGAATCCAGACCAAGCGAGTGTTGCACAGGGAGCATTTGGATCCAGAACCGTGCTGGTTCCCATAATATCTGATGGCGGACTCCGGGTGGTCGCAATCGATCCCTGCCACAGCCGGTGGAGGCTTCACTGGAGGGGGCGGCTTCGGCGGAGGCTTGACTGCGGCGGGTCCGGACAGTGTCCCCGGACGACCAAACCCGAAGACCCCTTGCGAATGCTCGAAGGTCTGACCTGATGGATCGGGCGGTCCGCCCACGGCCCCGGGCGTTCCCGCCGGAGCGGCCGTGGTGCCCATCATCCTGGGAGGCGGCTTCATTGGCGGCTGCTTTGGCTGAGGCGCCGCGGGAATGCCGCCTGCCGCCTGGTAACCCGCTGAACGCCCGCCGTCCACCTGCATGAGATCGGGCGGCGGCCCGCGAGGAAGCGGGGGCCGCGCACTCCCGCTCGATGAGGACGCCGCACCTGCTGATGGGGCTGGCTGCGCTTGTTGGTCGGCAGCGGCCGCTGCAACTGCTTGAGCTGCTGCTTCCTCCAGCTGCGCTTGTGCTGCAGCCATCGACGGGTCGGCTGGGTCGTCCCAAATGTACCCGTCTGAGTCCGGCTCTCCTGGAGCCCTCTCGCCTCTGATGCGCGCCTGGCGAGCCCTCAGGAAGGCCTGCGTCGCATCCGCTGCCCTCGGGGGATTGCCCTTCGAGTTCTTGCCGCCGAGAACCGCAAGCACCAGCGTCGCCGCCAGGGTCCCCTGGAGCTGCCGCATCGTTCGGATCGGAACTGATTCCGAGAAACAGTCGTGAAAGCCAAGCTGAAAGGCTAGCTAAGCTTGAGCCGAGGTGGTTTACGCTGACGATAACGTCGATGCCGAGGGTGACCCCGATCTGGGGCCCTCGGCTCCCCGAAACTCTCGTGCTCGAAGTACCCTTGACCTTAGCTTGACTACCGGATCTGAGGCCCTGGGATCTCCTAAGTGAGGCTGACTGAGCTCGTGGCTTGCAGATGTCCTCCCGCTCCTCAGAGGTCTCCTGCCCTAAGACGACCTGGCCCCTGATCTTCCGCTCCCTGGTACTCTGAGTCCCCGGACTTGTGCTCTGGATCCTGGTCCTAGTCCTGGAGCCTCTTGAGCCCCTTGGTCCCCTGGTCGTTCGTATAAACAACCGTAGGATGATGAGGAAGAGGATGATGTAGACAGAGACCGTTCCCGTGTCGGACATCTGCTGCGGCGGTCCGGCCGTCCGCTGAAACGAGTTGGGCCGGAGAAAAGGATATTTGTCCAAGGCTGCTCGAGGGACCTCGGGCTCCTTCAGCTGGCAAACTATCTCGACCAGCCGATGTCCTGACCCGAGGCACGTGAGCTGAACACTCCGGCCCAGGCGCTCTAGCTGCAAGGTGTTGCGAGGCAGGTCGATAACTGACCCGAGGTATTCTAGAAGATTGACGCTCAAAATGTGCGGAACATTGTCCGCCAGAACAGTAGTCTCGATGATGCCCAGGACCTGGCCCAGGCAGAGAGGAAAGAGCACCGCGTTGATGACGCGAGCGGCTCCCCCCACGCCGTGAGCCGCCTTCGACGGTCGCATGCTCTCGGGGATCTCGACATACTGGAGGCCCACCTCAGCGAGCGCCTGAGACTCACGATTGAGGGCTGCGACACCGACCAGGTCGCTTCCTGCCCCCGGATCCACCAGCGCCTGGGTGGGCGTCGTGGCGAGCAGGACCATGGACTGGTCGGCCTCCGGCTCGCTCTTCTCCAGCAGAGCGCATGGGGCCACGAACTCGCTGCCGCCGCCGCCGCCCACGACCCCGTCGAACAGGTAGGCAGCGGCGCGTCGATCACCTCCTCGCTGTCCCTGACCCTGAGCACGCTTATCCTTGGGACCGCCACGCTCAGGGCACTCGCGGTGCCAGTGCCCTTTCTCCTTGCAGATGCTGCAGCGCGTGACCTTGATCAGCTGGTCGCGGGACAGTCTCTGCCGGCCAGCACCACGACCGTCTCGGCCTGCCCCGCGTCCGCCTCCGCGACCACCTCGAGCAGAGCGTCCCGCGGGGTGGGCACGAGGAGGAAGACGGGTTCCCTGAGCTCCAGGGCGAAAGTACTCGCGGTCTTGCTTCACCGCTCTCTTGAGGTCCTTATTTTGCTTCCACGTACGAGTGTTCTTAGCCTCGAGAGTGGCCAGGACCTCATCCACCTGATCCTCGGAAATGTCGAGGTCCTCGATCTCAGCAAGCAGTGCCTCAATGTCCTCTTCGTCGTCCTCCTCTGGCTCCTGGTCCTCCTCGTCGTAGAAGGTGTCGTCATCCTCGGCACCCTGGTTCTCGACACCACCGTCACCCGACCAGGGAGGAGGGGAGGGAGAGGAGGGCTGAAAAACACCTGCTGCACTGCTGGCCCCTACACCCTCACTGGCCATCATGGCTCCAGCACCTGGTCGTCCGGGCAGAAGTCTCTCTGACCCGCCGGCGTCCATCTGCTTCAGAGCCCAGGCCACGTTTTCGTAGTCTAGCCTCCCGAGCGTGAGAGTCCTGAGATTCTGGAGGCCCTGCGAGGTGAGGCCTGCGCCCTCCTCCAGCAGCAGGCCCTTGAGCTTTGGAGACACCCAGAGGTCGTGGCCCTCGGCCTCCAGGAGCTGCGCCTCACGCCTGGTGACGAACTGCACCAGAGATTCTCGCTGTTCACGACTGGCCTCGAAGAAGGCCTTGCGACCAGCTCTGCGCAGGTCGTCTCCTTCTCTTTCCCCGGCCATGGTGTCCATGCGCCCAAGCACCAGGTCGAGCCAGCCGTCCTCGGCCATCTTGTACTCGGGCACGTCGTCGAACTTCATCTGGAACGCCCAATCGAAGAGCTTGAGAAATTTCTCTGCACGCCTCCACATGGGAACATCTGTGTTGGCGTTCCAGCGTCGCAATGCCTTTTTCCAAGGCCTGTAGTGGGTCCACCCCGGCCAAGCCGGGGGATCGCTGTAGTCTCCCTTGGGCCAGCCGCTGCTTCCCCAGCCGCTGGACCAGGACTCAGCATTCCGGCTGTCACGACTACGGCCCCACTGGTCTGACTCCTGCGGTCGGTCGGCCTCAGCCTTCCAATCCCGCCAGCTGCCGGACTTGCCAGTCCAGTCCTGCCAGGTGCCCTTCTGCTCGTCGCCGCCCCAGCCCGACTGGTCTCGCCAGCCGCTGGAGCCGTCGATGGCGCCGTCCTTCCACGGATCACCGTTGAGCCACGGATCATCCTTCTTCTCGTTGCGCTCCGGGCGCTCGTGGCGCTCGGCGCCGCCGGAGCTGGCCGCAGCCGCGGAGGTGGAGCCCGAAGAATCTCTCCCCTGCATCGCCTCCCTGACGATGTCACCGATGATTCTGTTCAGCTCACCCCTGGTCACCACCGCGTTCTCGGCCTGCCCCGGCGCCTCGGCGTGCAGAGTAGCACCAGTGTCTTTCTCCTCGTCAACTGCCATTACACCCACCGTGGATCCACACGCGTCGCGTTGGCCGAGCGAAGCGCACGCCCAGGGCTCGCGAGCACCGGCGGGGCCGCGCCTAGCAGCGCGTCCGGCCAGCGCCCATGGCACCCGAGCGACACCTCGCTCCGCTACCAACTGTGGCAGCAAAGGATTGGATGAATGTTTTAGGCCTTGAGCCAAAAC